GAGAGAGAGAGAGAGGGAGAGAGGGGGGGGATGCACACACACACTCATATACACACAAATAACCCACTGAGACATACTCACATTCTCACATGCACACACAAATACTTTGGCACTTCCATGCTCATCACACACTCAAACCAATGCTGGTAACCACATCCCGTACTGCCAACCATCCAAAAGCCATGAACCCTCGTAGCTGCTCGACATCCAAGTAAGCCACGGAAGAATTCTTTTGAACATTAAATGAAATCTATGTTTGATTTAAAACGACGTTTTACTCTGCAGAAGCATTATCTTCAAGAATGTACAATCGGAATATAAATGTAATAGGGGTAAAAATAAAATTAAATAACTCTGCTGTTATAATACAAAAGAAAATATTATAATCATTATATTTTAGACGTTGTAATGATATAAATAGAATAATCTAAATTATAGTTATTGGAACAATCGCGATGAAAAATCCAGGGATTATTCCTTTAGTTCTGTTCTTTTTTCCTTTCCCTTTACAACAACACTTCCATTAAGCCTGTAGGATTGTGTGGCTGAACAACCATAGTCTATAGATTGCATTCTTGTAATGCTTTCAAATAGAAGAGCTAATTGTTTTATGATCTTTCGTCGTAGCTTATCTTTTTGTTCCGTTCTCTTGAAAACACAAAAGACATTTTACAAAAACTTTTCCACAATAGTCCATTGTAACTTAACGACTGGGAAAAGTGTGAAAATTCATGATCCTTGATGATATTAAATGTCGAACTAATAATAATATTATACGTTGTTCATGTGTACATGAAATTATTAGAGGTATGTGTACGTGTGTGTGTATGTGTGTGTGTGTGTGTGTATGTGTGTGTGTATGTGTGTGTGTGTGTGTGTGTGTGTGTGTGTGTGAGTGAGTGTAAGTCGTATTTTTGTGTGTCTGTGCATATTGGGCCGTGAGTACAAGTCGTATTGGACATTCTTATACATGACCCGGAAGTATGTTTGAGGGTATGTGAGTTTATTCTGTGTATGTGCTCGTGTTTATCTTGGTCTGTGAGTGTCCGAGTATTTGACGTCATCCATTCGTCTTCCCCGTCTTTCTGTCACAATTTCCCGCCCACACTAGCCCTTCTGTCACTCCAGCAATCCTTCTGGTCACGTGGTTTTTCTCACGGAAGACCATACTCTAAGTTCCCTTTCCTGCTCCCATTCATCCCTGTTTGTTTCTACTTTAACTTAGACCCCCATCTACTAAACCTCA